TCTTTAAACATTGTACTATGATGAAAAAAAAACCGCAAATGGAAGAGTTTTTGTTTTGAATGGATAGAAGGATCACTGAAGTACAGTTGCGATAAAAAAGGTTTGAAATTAATCACATAAGATACTCTAAGCCTTTAATAAGGTTTTTCATGGCACTTATATAGTGCAAGACACGTGTTATGGCTTTTCAGACATCAATAGCACGGTCTCTTTCGTTTGAGCTAATCTCTCGTAGAGGGATATATGTCTAACATACAAAGGAATAGACGACTAACAACTTACATTGCCGTAAGGTAAAAAGGCCACCCATCGGAAGACCTAGTGTACACTGCCAACAGGGTATGAAGATATATATACTACCGTAAGTGCAAAAATAAATAACCAAATATTCTTGTTTGCATATAAAGTTTAGTACTTACAGCAGCGTTTTCTCCTATTACCATCATGATTGTTTCGATCTATCAAATGGTTCATTGCCTTATCGTGGCTGAAATCTTTGACTGTCGGACTGCGAAGGACAGAAAGGTTCAACTCTCACTAGGACCACACAAGCAATGAAGAAGTGCGACGTTCCCACCGAAAAGCCCAGCTAAGAGTGAACTGTACCGCAAATCAACCTTGTAATGGTAATTAGTCGCAAGGTGGTAATCTCCCTGTGATCCACAAAAGCTGCGATTGCTCGATTGTGATGACAACTTGAGGAGAGCTTAGCCTGGGATGACCTCGGGATCTTAGGTATAAAAACATTGATCAAGCAAGAAGCTTTGTGCCTCAGGACTCAGCACACTAAGTGCTTCCGTCAACGGCAGCGGGCGGTGAAGCTACCAGGTTAAAGGAAATCATATCTCTGGTACAATACGACGTGATTGGAAAAGGAAAGTAAGAACACGGCTACGACAAATCATGGAGACAGTTTCTTACTTTGCACCTATAACACCACAAGGTGGCGAGTAGTCGTGTCTCGAGAAGATATTAAACTCATCAAACTCATCACACCGCCGTTTAAGCCTGCTCAAAAATCTCTCCCGGAATCGTTTCCTTTAATAATGGATCTTCGTCAACTACCAATCGATCGTAATCGTCGACTGGATATCGACGTGTGTTTTTAGATTGATATGCTATTATATTTGTCTAACCTGATAATATTTTTGTAATTATTATGTATCATACGTTGTTGTTCTCAATCTACAACATGGTACGTTCACATTGGAATAATCTGATCTCACTGAACGTGCTCGCACAGGAGAGCGGAGAGCACCAATAAGAAAGTTTCGCGTGACCTAATCGAGCTAGCAATCGAGCTAAATTATGTTTTCATTGAAGAAATTAGTCAAACCACCAAAGCTCCAAAAAAACAGTTGGGATGTGGTATGGTCTATACAACAGAATCTATTTCGGGATCCTGCTTTCTCAACTGACTGCACCTCATCAAAGTCTTCAAAATTTAATCAAACAGAATCTCTGTGAGATATCTCAAGTATATTTAATGCATATTGGACGGTAGCTACGAAGATACCCTCTGTCACCGCCCAAATAAAAAGGCTGTGCGCGGAATCCTCCACTGGTCTGGACATGTATCCGAAAAGCTTCAAGTGTTTTCGCGCTGAAAACACCCAGCAGGATTACCTAATCATAATTCTATGACTGCATAGGGGAAGGGTTGGCTGTTTAGCACGGTTGGGTGACAGAGCACTTGACCCTATGCATGCCCTGTGAAGGTTCGCACCGGGACTAGCACCCAGTGAGAGAGCCACGGGGTTACATGAGGGCCACAGGGTCGAATATAAACCTCAAACCCTTAGCGGCTGCCTTGTGTCCGGTGGCGCGCCACGCGCACCCCATGGTGATGTGCTCCGCCGCCGTGGTAAATGCTCTCATTCCACAACACGGCGCTCCCACCGTTAGTAGCGCATAAGATACGGACGCATAACGAGAAGGACTTCAAGTCAAAGTCAATATACTCGCACGGGAAGAAAAGACCTCAGCGCGAAAAACACTCGAAACGTTTTGGATTCACGCCAAAAACCCCAAGATGAACGGCCAAGATAAATTCCTTCTTACCATGCGTGATATCGCGCCATTTCTCAGATCGACTTTTTGATCTGAGTCACGCCGCGCCGCCCCTCACGCACTGTACCATCCATGCAAGACTGTGTGCGGTTAGTTAACGTAACATATGGGGGACCATAAAGAACCAAAAAAAAGGGTGAGTAAAGTAAGCTGTTGTGCTTTCGTTATGAGAGTGCTCGATTGAGTATGTTCAAATCAATGTAACTCTTTCAGGCTCTGAAAAAGGCGACAGCGCCAAAATGTCAGCCATCACGACTGCATGTACTGTACTGTTCATAGGTACTGAATGAATCATTATTAAGTAACTCCGTACTTGCTGAATAGTAAAATTATGGAGTTATTAAAATAAAAGAACCTCTATAGTTGATGTTTATGCAAGCAAGAATTATGTGGTGAGAAAAAAATCACTTTTTTTTTTAGAAAAACGTTGATGAGCAAAATTCATGAGAAGTTTCTTATTAACGAAATCGATAGTGACCTCCTAGAACGACCGTCAACTTTACCGTGTAGACAACAAGATGACAAAGAAGGTGCTAGGCGTTTTTCTTTCTCTAGGCATTGTTCTATGGTGAGAAAGAAAACAGTAAATGGAAGATTGTTTGTTTTGAATGGAAAGACGGACCACTGCTGAAGTACAGTTGCGGTAAAACGGTTTGGAATTAATCACATAATATATTCCAAGCCTTTAATGAGGTCCTTTATGGCTCTTATGTAGTGCAAGACACGTGTTATTGCTTGTCAGCCATCAGTACACGATGCTATTTGTTTGAGCCAATCCCTCGTAATATGTCTTATATACAAAGAAGTAGACGATTAACAACTTACATTGCTGTAAGGTGAAAAGGCCACCCATCCTGCAGTGTTTTGAAGTTGATTGCTCGTGGCTTCTAAAACTTATAATGTAATACCTTTAGTTTCGAGTGCTTTTTGAGGGCTAGCTAAGACTTCAAAATGCCTGATAGTTATTTTTGAGCCATGCATATGGCCTTTTATGAGGCACTTATACAGTGTAAGGTACGTGTTCAGGCCTCTCAACCTTGTCGGTTGCACGGTGCTTTCTGGTTCAGTCAGTTGCGCGTGGGGATATTCCCTGCTAAGAGGAACCGACATCGTAATACTTACACGCTCCGTCAAGTGATAAATCACCATACGGGCAGTGTTATACACTTGATTGTTATCGGCCGGTTTCGTGAGATATCATACCTTTCGTCTCAAGTGTTTCTTGAGCCTTCGCTCAAATTTCAATACGCCTGGTATTTATTTATGAACCATTCACTGTGCGTGTAAATACTACGACGTCGGTTCCTCTTAGCAAGGGATATCTCACAGCGCAACTTCTGAAGCAAAAGGCACCGTACAACTGACGGGGCTGAAAGGCCGAAACACGTGTCTAGCACTTTATAAGTGCCATAAGAGACCTCAAAAGAAGCTTGAAATATGTTATCAGATTATACATTGCTACGGCAAGGTCTATAAAAAACAGTAGAATGTAAACGTTTGGAACTAACTAGATGTTTTACATGATTAGGAATACACGTTCCAAAAGGGGAAGCATGAACGGTCAGTTCACATAATTCGACACTTTAATGATCTGTCTTCACAGTGCTTCTTTTTTCACAGTGCGGATCCCAGCACTTATAGCATTCATTTCGGTTTTTCGTCCTCTTATTGGCCGTAGAGTATTGGTTGAACGTGTCTCCTAGCAATCTCGAGGATAGCCTGGATGGGGCGTGCATTAGGCATTGTTGTTGACTGCCGGAGGGAGATTGGGAGCGATGCTCGGCTCCATGAGCGCCGTGACGAGCATCACATCCACTCGGCCACGGCAACCCCACGATCAGTTCAATACAGATGAAACGAAGATCGGCGAACTAGGCCACAAACTGCATTCACGAAGATGATGGCACTTAACTGCGAATGCGTACGACTATCAACACGGCTATATGACGATCCATACGACACCAATTACATGACATTGCGATGCTGTAGTGAAGAGTTCACAACAAATGGAGAGCTTGTGAGCTGTGCGTCCATGTCGGAGTACTCGGTTAGGTCGAACGTGTGAGGTGTGATATCAATGCGGTTAAGCCCACGAGTAAGGGGTGCACGCTCTACCGCCTCCACCACAGCTTCGGAGGTGAGAAAGGCTCGTGCCCGAGATCGAACCATTAACCACGTGTAAACCGCGCAGTCCCCTAAGCACTGCGCCAGCGCACCGTGATCAGCCCGTTTCTATTTAGAAAATTCTGTATTTGCGGACAGTACTAGAAAATTTGCGCCTAGAATGTAAACACAGGCATAAATTCGGTCATACGCCTTGTATCGCCCTAATTCAGAGTTTGTTACTTAAATGGTTTCAACGGACGGCGCAGTGGTTAAGGGTGCTTTGCAAGTCGATCCGTCGATGGTTTGATCTCACGCTCAGCTTATCGAGGCCTCTCTGGGTCGGTGAACTGGCTGATGTGGGAGGATGGCATGGCAACACCGACTCGATCCATCTGTGGGCCATCGCCAGTCTTTGTATAGGCCGGTGCATCCAGCCACCTCACTCGATGCTACGAATCGAATCCAGTTCCCTCTGGAAGTGATCTACGCGGAGAGCTTCGTCCTCTATCCTTTACAAATCCGACGATAACCGAAACTCTTTTGGAAAGTGAAAACTGGCGTTGGTAACTTTCAAGAAACTTCCTTTCGTGGTTTTTTCTATTCATTTTTCCCGATTTTATTCCACGTTTTGTCGAATTTCTCATCAAATTATTAATAAGGACTCTTGTGTTTCTATTGATTTTGAAAAACTTCTTCTTAAAGGTTTTCAAACTTTCCAAAAAGCTGTGGAATTCGGCTTACTCGATCAGCTTTGTTAAAGTCTGGTGATTAATAGCTATGAAAGAGAGATGAGATCTTGAAGAATGAGTGATGAGTAAGCGGTGGCCTCGGTGGTGTAAAGATAGCACGCATCCGCGGCATGGATGAAACGCGGGTTCGGCTCCCGCCTGAGGTCGAATTTTTGCCCACCACTCAATTCTTCCGGTATTTTATTGATAAGAGTTGATAGTATCACCTGGTTCACCTATCGTCGCGGTGATCGTCGAGGATCGACTCGAACTGAGACACCGGTAAAACTTCCCGTTTTTTCTTCTGCCTTCAAGACTACGTAGTGAGTCCTCCTTGCTGTGGGAGTTCGTTGAGCATCACAACTTTCTTCTCTAGGCGTTTCGTGAAGAGGTCGGACCATTAGGGTGGTGGTCCCTCTGTGATAAGCTTGACATTTCGGAGAATCGAATTAGTAATGGCTCTCATCTGTCGGCCTCATCTGAAATACCTGAATGAATCAGTCATTTCCTAAATATTCTGCGACTGACATGCTCGGGTCCTGTTGCCCTCAAATATTGACTCAAGTAGTTTATGGTTCTTGTCATTATGAGATGACAAATGAAAAAGCGATCTCATCCGCTGGGGAAGAACTTTTCAAGTGAATATTAGTAATGATTTGAGAGCTGAGATTTCTGAGTACAGCCCCACGTCGCCGGTTTTCGAAAAGAATCTTCTATGACGCCTTAAAATCCACAGAAAACTATGTCTCAGACGGACAGATGTTTTTCGCCGGACAGAGCTTTTTCTTTGGACTAATAGTGATTGATCGATATCGTGATGTTTGCTTAATCCAACGATGTGCTTGTGACAGGACCGTTTCTCTGCAACGCAAGAAGGAAAACAAGTTGAATTCAAATACACAAGCAAGGTGGGCTTTTGCCAAATCACGTGCCGCGGGCTCAAGCGACACATGCGCTCACGCAATAGTCATCGATTTTTGGGCATATGAACGTGCATAGATGTGTCGCGAAAGCAATCACGTGGACGTCTCACCCATCGGCACGTGAATTGGCCAAAGATCCATTTGCTCGCGAATGTGAAATCAGCTTCTTTTCCTGCTGCATTGTAGAGAAACGGTCTTTCCAGAGAATAAGCACAGCGATGGATTCAGCAACGATTACACTACTGAACGATTACTAATAGTCCAAAGAAAAGGCTTTGTTCTGAAAGAAGTGTCGGTATTTGGTAGCAAGGGATTTTCTTCTCTTACAACGTAAGAAAGCGTTTTTCAGAAACCGGCCACGTGGGGCTCTAGCAGAAATCTATGCTTTCGAATGATTTCTAACACCCCTATGAAAAGTTCCTGTACAGAAAGTGGGATCGGCTTGAAAATTTGTCGCCGTCTAACATATTAAGTACCCGTCACGCAACGGCACGCTGGGATCAGAGATGCAGAGGACGTGGGCCTGCAGTCATGAAATCGTTAATCACTTTACGAAGGCTCGTATCCCCGGGTTTTTTCCCACTGTGCCGGTTCTAATTCTTCTTGCATTCGATATTTGCTCGTTTACAGAAGCGTTCATCTTCACGAACGTCGTAGAATGCTGGTCGGGCCGTTTCTCTCCACAATCTCCAATATAGCCAGGCTGGGGCGTTTGATATTTATTGCCAGAGAGTGCTGAGAGGCTGTGGGATCGAATCCGCGTCGAGCCGCAGCGAGCATCACTGACCACTCTGCCAAAGTCCCATCTTTTGAGTATTCAATAGTTTGTATGTGTGTCTAGGATTTTCAGTTTTACTTACATCTTTATTTATAATAGTTTTCATGCCATGGTTCAGTGAGGTTCGATCGGTATTGTGATTTATTTACGAAATATTCCGTTTCGATAGTATTTACTACCGCCGTATGCCATTTCAGTACACTACTTTTTCTGATTTTCTTCACTTTTGGCTATTTTCTTTTTCAAGAATTACGCTTAACCCTTTCGGACCGTGGATTCACGGCCTCTGCGTCTCTAGCTGGCAAATCTGGGCGCTCTGCTTCACCTTCTCTTCGTCTTCAATCCCAGCGTGCTGCGTCTAACAATGCTCGTTGCTGCACCTAACTTTGGCACGCTGGGGTTCGAGATGCAGAGGAGGCGGGCAGACCGTCCACAGTTGCCAGTTAGAGATGCAGAGGCAGTGGGTCCACGGTCCCGGAAGAATAAATGAGATTTTTTTCCTTTTACACAGATGACAACCGAAGGTGGGCTACGGCAGTGCCTTACTGATCTGACGAGAGCCGATACCAGTGGTGATTATCAGAAAGCACTCCAGGCAGCTAATCGTCGTTAGTTCTTTCCCTTAGTCTTCTGTTACTTTGATCTACTTTTTAACTGGTTTTTCTTTTGTGATTCAACTTGTACACGAGGTTGATAAGTAAGAGTTGTATGGTTGACAAAGCCCATGTGGCATAGTGGTATAGGTGCTCAGCGACACACGCGCTCATGTTATCGTCTGATCGATGATCTACGGGTACGACCCCGCGTCAGGCTCATTAAGCCTTTCATTCCTCCGGAATCGATAAATTGGTAAAAGGCGTGTGTTGGAGGATAGCAGCACTGACTTGATACATTGATAGATCATCGCAAGTCAGTTTTTGAGACTGAATGAGTATCGACACCTCAAACGATGCCTGATGAGGCCGACATGACGTAATTCGTGAGGGAGTGATCAGCAGCGAGATCTTAACCCGTTCGGGGACCGTCGTGTACTCACCTCCTCTGCATCTCTACACCCCAGCGGTGGAACTTGTATAATTGTTATTTTCCTATGTTGTTTTATATGTAAATGTTATTGTGTTGTTTGTAAGTAGGAAGATGACACCAATAATAAAGAATAAAGGATGAAGCTTTTGGCGCTGATCAATTCCTGAGGTATGCACCATGCATTCGTCTTCAATTTCTAAACTTCGTCTGAGGTGATTGAAGGCATATTTGGCCTCTACAGTGACTAGCGGTAGCCTCCCGCTGAACCGAGTCAGTGGTGCTTATCTCCCAGACAGGTCTGAAACCAGTTTGGTACCAGTTTACCGCCCTGGGAGAGATGGATGGCCTGGTGAGCGATGAGCACGAGATCGACTTTGTGTGCGACGCAAGAGCACCTTTAACCACTGCACCAGATGCGCTATAATAACAATAATACAATTGGAATAATGCAATAATGCATTTGATGCGTTGCCACGCTGGGAGATATAGATGTAGGGGAAGGTCCATCAGACCGTCCAGCATTGTCACGCCGAGGGTTGGAGATGCGGAGGAGGCATGCCCACGGTCCCGAAATGATCAATTCTTTTGTCCTTGTTTGGATAACGTCTCGACTTCTTCGTCCTGCTAAGGAAATAAACGACTCCGGGCATTCGACTCGAGAACGAACCAATTGTTCTCGAAGAAGACGTCGAGACGTCAGCGAAATAAATCCTAGTTATCAACCTCGTGGTATTAGCCAAAGAAAACAAAGCGCTATTATCATTTGGTAATGACGAGGTCAGAGGGAATCGATTACCAAACTGTTTCTTCTAGGGTTTTTGTACTTTCTTGGCTTGTAAACACGTTTTAATCTCCTTTTTTTATTACCTTTTTTTGAGAATTTTCTCTGTACAGTAATTCGTCGCTACCCGAAGGAGCACTATGCATTCAAATGCAAGCTGGTATGCCTTATTCACATGTCAATGCATGATGATGCGCTTACGTTACTACGAAAGACACCACCGAGTCAAATGGGGTAAGTATTCAAATGTCCAGTTTTGTGGATAGTCGCCGTCGTAGATCACGAACTATCCTTTACTACAATTGAACCTTACACGATGTTGGTTCTTTTCCATTCAAAAGCGACGCGTAGCGTTTCGGCGATCGCTTTCCGAGTCAAGACGAGTGCAGCACGTACCGCATCTATTCAATCGGTTGAGATCTTCTGTGTCCAAGGACAACTTAGCAAAAGAAAAATCGTTCGTTTCGAGTGATTTTCTCAGGACCACGCTCAATCTCAATATATCTCATGATTATTATCTGACTGACATGTCATCTGGTCTGATAATGGGCTCTTCTACAGCCCGATACAAAATTGAAATCTTAGACACTTCAAATTGAACTTCAATCCCTACAACCTGCTCAGTCAAGTATGGGATATACTCTAAATGCATTGCTCACATCGTCGGTTACACCGACAATTTCTGCGCATAAGTCAAAGATACCGTCGAGTGTTTTCTGAATTGTATCGACTGAAACTAATCGAATAGCTGTGACAGAGCGTTGGATTAGTAGTAGTGGCAGAGATATATTGAGATTTGAGCGTGGTTTTGAGGAAAACATTCGAAACAAACGGTATAATCTTTCAAAAATGCCAGCCAAGAACAATCGAGTGTTGAAACACTGCCGACCTGATGATTTTTCACTTGATGGCGATTAGGGGGGTAGATCGTTCGTCGTCGCCTACTTTTTACAAAGGAGCGGGAGCCCCCGAACGGATTGGCTTGAGGCGAAGGGTCTGCCCGACTGATGAGGCTGCAAGAGCGAAACCCGTGAATCGGGCTGTACAGGAGCCCATAAGAGACCACATATAAGTTGGCTCTAATAATAATTATGTGATGTACAAAAAATCGTTCAAATGCTTAGTCGCTATATCAGAAGCCTACTGTTAAGCTACTTCTGTCGCAGGTCAACGCTGTGTTGCAGCAGACTATGAATAGTATTCATGATCACCTGTATCACCTGTGGTCCCGTTGATCGTCGAGTGACTCGAGTGGATGCCAGCAACACTACCATTTTTCCCTATCGCGTGCAAGAGTAGCCCAGTGGGTCCTCCTCGTCCTAGGGATTTGCTGAGCATCATATCTTCTATGGCTTTCGTGAAAAAATCGGACCAACGGGTATGAGGTCTTCCTGTAAAGCGCTTGATATCCCAAGTAATCCAGTCGGTAACGGCTCTCTTCTATCGCTTGTCGTTGAAGTGCATCACGTGTCCGGCCCACCTTATTTGCGATATCCTGGCGTGTAGAACGTATCCTGACGTATATTTTTCACATGCAATATAATTTTTCGGCTACGTTTGAATTGACTAATTGCAATTCGAAATTTATAATGACTTGTGGTGTTGTGGTGCATAGCGACGTATTCTAATTTAGGAACAAGTCACCGACGCCGGACGATG